GGAAATCATGACAAGGAACCCTAGAAAGGTAGGTTTCTGAGGGCCCAGGTAGCTCAAAAGCTACAGCTCAGAAAGGTGTATCCGAGATGATGACCAGCAGCCGGCCCAAACCCAAGGTCGTGACATTCAGGCATCAGGGACCTGACTTGTACCCCCAACCAAAGTACCTACAATTCTTCTGCAAGCTACCTGAATCCAAAACCCTAGATCCTGAATCCGCTACCCCTACGCCCTAAAACTTTAAATTAAGGCTGAATCCGATAGCGCTACACCCTAAAACTTTAAATTAACAACCCCCCAAGATGCAACCCTACGCCCGAAAACTTGAAGGCCCCAAAATCCCCTAAACCCTATTAAACAACTCTAGAGCCCTGAACTCCCCTGCACCCTCAGAGGCAGACACCCCCAAATCCGAAGCCCTACGGCTTCTGCATCCGAAGCGATACCAACAAAAATCTCTAGATCCGAAACCCTAAAGCCTAAACCGGAAACCTAAAACCGGGTTTAGGGGTTTAGGGCTTAGGGCTTAGGGTTTAGGCTACACCCGAAACCCGAAAAGGAGCACCTGGCCTGGATCGTGCGAACTGCTTCGTTCTCCTCTAAGTCTTTGCCCTCCGCGACGAGGCTGTCGTAGGGTCGACCTGCCGATTGCCGACAGAAAAGAAGAACCCATGGAGCCCAAGAAACCGTTAAGGAGCATTCCTTGAAGTAGGTACTGGCATGTCCTGTTTATGGCTTTCAGATATGAGATTTCTCTACTCTTGCAAACGACTTCCAAAACCCAAGCACAGCCTTTGCGTCGTCGCTTGGCAGCGGCAGCGGCCAGCAGCGGCCAGGCACCTTTGCAAGTCTACACATCGGTGAAGATGTCTTGGGCTTAGGGAGCTTCGGACTTAGTCTAGGCAGGGCTTACTAAGTTTTCGGGCTTAGGGCTTAGGGAGTAAACCCTGCACCGCGAGTCTGAAACACTACACAGAGGGTTCAGGGTTTGGGGCTGTAGGGTTTTCGGTCTAGGGTCTAGGGTGTACGTAGGGTTGAAGGTAGAAACCAAAAACGTCACACCACACACAAATCGATGGGAATGATAGTCCCAGGTTGCGCACTCGTACTAATCACAATGTCAGTGAGAACGATCATGTTGTCACTAGTACCCTAAACCCTAAACCCTAAACGGTGGGACAGTTCTCAGTCTACTTCTTATTCACGATGACAGGCATCTTAGCCCTGAAGGCGAAAGGCCCTCAACCACTAACTTCGTCTAAAAAAGATGATTGAGATGATACCTTCTTTTTTGTCATTGTTACCATGATTAAACTAGTATTACTATAATCATTACGTCTTAAGAAGCCTCAGTTCCCGGCCAGGCCGATCCTCTGGCTCCAGCCCCGCCCGCACGGCGGCTGTGACCTGCGAACTCGGGGGTGAAGCGGCTCCGTAGTATGGGGCTTAGAGTCCCGGGCTGGGATCTAGGGAGTAGAACTCAAAAGTACTCAGCTCGGAGCTTGGGGTTCAGGAAAGATAAGACGACGTCTGCATGGCTCTGGTGCTAACCCACCGAATGCCACATCTGGAGCTCTCTGGGTGGATATCCCTAAACCCAACAGCCCAAAAACCGAAGCTTGGATGTACCCTAGAAACCGTCTTTCTAAGAAGGCCTTCAAACCAAAAAACAAGTCTTAACTCTAGACCCTCTGCCTCAAGCCGGAGCCCAAACGCTCCAGCCAATGCCAGGTTTGGTGAGTCGGACTTGGTCGAGCTCAGAAACCCTGCACATGTATACATGTGCATAGCGGTATGTTGAAAAGGCCTGTATATGGATACTATATATATATATATATATTTATATGTAAGCACCTACAGATATGTACGAATATATTCAGGTATATTCAAGTATATAAAGGTATTTACGAGTTTTTGTTTGTGTCTACGCAGCAGTATGTATAAGTTGACGTAAGTTTAGATCTGTATATGATTAGATGTGAGTATACATAAGTATATGTGTAAGCCTGTGAAAGTATAAATAGGCATGTGTCTACCTATGTATATATGGATACGTGTAGATCTTAGATAACTATACATACAAGTATACACAAGCTTGTATAAGTGTGTATGTGTATGTGTATATATGTGTTTACAAATATTTTTCATACAAGTAGAAACGAGTACAATGAGTATGTGTGAATACTTACAAATATATTTGCATACCAGTATATATATGAATATGTTTCAGTGTATATACATCTAAGTCTACATACATGTGCAAAAGTGTGAACGTGTGTACAAGTGTGTGTGTGTGTATGTACATATGTATATATATATATATATAGACACATATACATACAAGTACGTATATGTACATGTATTTATTAGTGTGTATATATATATATACATATGTATGTACACATGTATATAACTATACATAAATCCGGGTGTGGTTATACATCTATACATATACACACATATACGTCTGTGTGCATGTCCATATCCTCGCCTCTTCAACGCCTTCAGCAGCAAAGTGCTCGGCCGGCTTCCAATCCTCCTCAGGGCTTGGAACTAGAGCAAATCCAGAAAGCGGAGGGGCGTCTACTTTTTTTTGTTGGTTGCGGGCCAAGGGTTGGGAGTTCGAGTTTTTGGGCCATAGGGTTTGGGCTTAAGGGCTTAGGCTTTATTAGGGCTTAGGATACGGTGTCCCTGCTGGGCTCCGGACGTGGCGTTCAGGGCTGAGGGTGTTGGGCTCAGTTCGAGGATGTCTTGGCTATTGGAACATTCCAGGTTGCCTCGCTCCAGATTTAGAATGAAGAATGTATCTTGAGCCTTCGCGACGTATCACTGCGGCGCATCCTCATAGGGCGAGATCCCCTGAACCCAGAAAGCCGCAAAGACTCCCCAAAGAGCCGTCCATGGAGAGTTGTCACAGAGACCCCTAGCACCTCATGCAGAGCTTCCCACCTTACGGCTCCGAGACGAAGTGTGGGATTCAGGGTCCTCTACAAATAAACCTCAAGCCCTCAAACCGACTCAAACCTAAAGCCGAAAACCGTGACATCCATCGCTACCTACACCCTCGGTAGACCCTAGGAGTAGCTCTTGGGATGGGGTGCCCTTGTCTCCTCCGGCAGCTCAAGGATGTCCTTGGGGACAACTCTTGGAGGAGGAGGCTTCTTAGCTCCGTGCCTTGAAGTAGAGGAAACTACAGGTGGGGAGTTTAGGGTATATAGGGCTTCTATAAGGCTTCCATAAGTTATACATAGACCTTAGACCTTCTATAAGGCTCCTATAACGGTAACTACCCACCTGAAAATGTCCTAGATTGAAGCTCTCTTCGACTCTAGTCTTAGGGTTAGGGATTTCTAGGCTTCCCGGGGTGTACGGTTTAGGGTTAGGGATTTCTAGGGTGTAGGGCTTCGGGTTAGGCAAATCTAGGGTTTCGGGCTTCGGGTTTTGGGTATAGGGATTTCTAGGGTTTGAGGTTTCGGTTCTTAGGCTTAGGGTTAGGGATTTCCTGCAGGTTGGGCCTTCCGATGGGGAGGCTGAGGCTTCAAGAAGTCACTTGGGGTTTAGGCGACTTTGCAGCATCTGGGGGCTACTGCGGCATAAGGGCTTGCTGCCGAAAGGATGGGGAAGCTGAGGCCTGTGACAAAACAGCTTGCAGGCCTAAACCCTTAGATGCATAAACCCTGAACCCTGAACCCTAAACCCTTCCTTAGAGCCATAAACCCTAAACCCTACCTCCTCGACCCGAATGCAGGGGCCTAAATAATTACCAATGCTATTTTGTGGGTTCCTCAGTATAATTACAGTAGAATGGGCCCCACAACCCTCTTCTAATTATTAAGGCCCCCCCTAAACCCTAAAACCCTAAAACCCTAAACCCTAAACCCTAAACCCTAAACCCTAAACCCTAAAACCCTAAACCCTCAACCCGAAACCCCCAAAGTCTCAAGGCCCAAGCCCCAACTTCTGGTCTGGGAGTGCAAGGGCCCCCCTCGGAGGGGAATCGAATGCATGCGGGGCGCAAGCTCGTTGTCGGAGCTGCCCCATCCCTGGACATTCCTGGTTTTGGGTTTAAGGTTTAGGTTTTAGGGTCCTAAACCCTAAACCCTAAACCCTAAACCCTAAACCCTGAGCACTGGGACTTCAGAGCGATTTTGGGGACTCACACCACCTTAAAGCCCGAAGCCCTGCACCTGAAAACCCATTGAAGCCCTCAACCCTAAACCCCTGGCAGCCCTAAACCCGAAAACCTGAACCCCAAACCCTGCAGCCTCAGCCTTGGTCTTCTGTTGCAAGGCTTTTGTGTGTGTGTTTTTTTTTTTTTTGGGG